TCCTCTCCATGGTGCCTCAGATTGTTGGTGGCCCAGATCTCCTCCATGGTGGCCCAGATCCTCTCCATGGTGCCTCAGATTGTTGGTGGCCCAGATCCGTTCCATGGTGGCCCAGATCTTTTCCATGGTGGCCCAGATCCTCTCCATGGTGCCTCAGATTGTTGGTGGCCCAGATCCTCTCCATGGTGGCCCAGATCTTCTCCATGGTGGCCCAGCTGCTCTCCATGGTGACCCAGATCATTGGTGGCCCAACTGTCCTCCATGGTGGCCCAGATCTTCTCCATGGTGGCCCAGATGTTCTCCATGGTGGCCCAGATTGTTGGTGGCCCAGCTGTCCTCCATGGTAGCCCAGATCTTCTCCATGGTGGCCCAGCTGCTCTCCATGGTGGCCCAGATATTCTCCATGGTGGCCCAAATCTTCTCCATGGTGGCCCAGATGTTCTCCATGGTGGCCCAGATCATTGGTGGCCCAGATGTTCTCCATGGTGGCCCAGATCCCCTCTATGGTAGCCCAGCTGCTCTCCATGGTGCCTCAGATTGTTGGTGGCCCAGATCCTCTCCATGGTGGCCCAGATCTTCTCCATGGTGGCCCAGATCATTGGTGGCCCAGATGCCCTCAATGGTGGCCCAACTCTCCCCCATGGTGGCCCAGCTGCTCTCCATGGTGGCCCAGATTGTTGGTGGCCCAGCTGTCCTCCACGGTAGCCCAGATCTTCTCCATGGTGGCCCAGATCCTCTCCATGGTGGCCCAGATCATTGGTGGCCCAGCTGCTCTCCATGGTGGCCCAGATATTCTCCATGGTGGCCCAAATCTTCTCCATGGTGGCCCAGATGTTCTCCATGGTGGCCCAGCTGTCCTCCATGGTGGCCCAGATTGTTGGTGGCTCAGATGCCCTCCATGGTGGCCCAGATTGTTGGTGGCCCAGATCTTCTCCATGGTGGCCCAGATGTTCTCCACAGTGTCCCCATGTCCCCCCCGTGTCCCCCCACCCCCAGGGTGTCCCCCCGTCCCCGGGGTGTCCCCAGTGACCCCAATTCCTGTCCATGGTGTCCTGGAGCCACCTCAGACCCCGGTGTGACCCCCGTGTCCCCCCCGTGTCCCCCCCATGTCCCCCCCGTGTCCCCAAGGTGTCCCCACATCCCCAGGGTGTCCCCAGGGTGTCCCCCCGTCCCCTGGGTGCCCCCAGTGCCCCCCAGTT